CTCTAGTTACTGGGTGGAGTTGGTGTTGGCATTTGGATTTATTTTTTAATCTCAGAACTGTCTTATGGTTGGTAGCAGGTACTGTAATTCTCTTTTTCTGTTGTTTTTACAGATCTATGTTATTGACAGTGCTGATAAGAAACGCTTTGAGGAGACTGGGCAGGTAGGGTAGACTCCTCCCTATCTCCAGCGCCCTAACCCCAATCTACAGCAGAGACTCATGCAAACATTTTGTCCAGCAATGTGAAATCTGGGAATGATATAGGGTCAACATTTTGTCACTAATAACAGGGTCTCAAAGCAGAAGCAAGAGTCCAGATTGCTTCAACCTCCATGCCTCAACCTCACAACCTTCCACCTTCCATAGTTTAGTTGACAGAGACAGTATGGTTATTGTCATCTTATGATGCTGAAGTTGAGCACAGAACTTCTCAGGGAGGGAAGATGACAAAGAAAGAACTTGTGTTTGGAAGCCATGTCCACAACCGTGAATATTTCCTCTCCATCTAGAAGGTTTCTGATATGATTTTTTTCCCAAAGGAGCTTGCTAAGAACCTATTGAATTCTGTTTTTCACAGGAGTTGTCTGAACTGGTAGAAGATGAGAATCTCAATGGCGTTCCTTTGTTGGTATTTGCCAACAAGCAAGATCTAGCAACAGCATCTCCTGCAGCAGAAATTGCTGAAGGGCTCAATCTACACACATACCGAGACCGGGCATGGCAAATCCAAGCTTGTTCAGCACTATCTGGTGAAGGAGTTCAGGTACAAAGAGAGAGAGAAAGAGAGAGAGAGTATTATGCATGACAAATTATTATATATTTGTTGTATGTACCTTTTCTGCCCAAAATGGTGCTATCTGGTGGAGTGCAGGTACAAATGTGTTTGTGTGTGAGAGAGACAGAGACAGAGAGAGAGACAGAGAGAGAGAGAATATTATACATGACAATTTATTATATATTTGTTACATGTACTGTATCTTTTCTGCCATGAGCCCAAAATGGTACTATCTGGTGGAGTTCAGGTACAAATGTGTGTGTGTGTGTGCGCGCGCGCGCGCGAGAGAGAGAGAGAGAGAGAGAATATTATACATGACAAATTATTATATATTTGTTACATGTACCTTTTCTGCTGTGAGCCCAAAACAGTATTAATGATTGTCCTCCCCTCTTCACTTTATCTTCACAACACTGCTTGAGGTAGGTCAGTTTGTAGTAGGATGAATTGAACCAAGCAGGGCCACCCATTTGAGCTTCACGGCCAGGCGGCAGGTTGGTGGGACCCAAACCTGAACCTCCCAAGCCCCAGTTCAACCCTGTCACCAATAACTGCACAACACTATTTTGAAGCTGACATTAGTAGATGAAGACCCTCAGAGCTGGAATTAGAGCCCAACAAGGGATGTCATTCACTTCATCTTTGCTCTTTCCAGGATGGGATGAACTGGATTTGCAGCCAGATGACAAGTCGGAAAAAATGAGAGCACTGAGTACAGAAATGACATTTCATCTCTTCAGAATCCCATACCCACAGATTCAGTCCTAGTGGGTACAGGAGGTTTACAGGGATTCCAGGACAAGAGAGGAAATTTCCTTAATATTTTGAGTTGTCTGAAACATCTGACCCAAATAGCAACCAACGGTCTCATCCACACATAGTCTACATTGGGAAGCAAGGCTACATTTTTTAAAAAACCATCTAGGAATTATAACTGTGACAAAGCCGCTATATGAAGCCAAGAAAATCTTAAAAGAATTTCCAAGCTTAAAATGAATATTGAGCATATACTGTTGAGCCTACAAACACTCCAAGAGCATAAACTCACCTGTCAATGTATTATACAAGATTTCCATTGATTTCACATGTTACTATACAGTTGCACTGTTGTGGCTATTCCAAAGACGCACTTTAAACTTCCAGCCTATTCAGCTTCTCTTTTCCTTTGGCATGGGGGCATATTCATCTACTGACAGTTTCTAAGACTCAATGGCTATAGAATTCCCTTCATTCCTAACTGGAGCAGAAAATCAGCAAGAAGTCAGCAAGCAAGATCTTTAGGAGAAAAATTTTCATCCAGTGCTTGATATCCTGTGCTGTAGAACTGATCCAGAAGAGTTGCTCCAGAAAATTTTTAAAGTTCCTGAAAATATGGGACATAAACATCTCAATGTACTTCTCTTATGGATGAGGGAGGAGCATTAGGCTTCCCACCAGCCAGGACCAGGAAACAAAAGCTCCATCCTGCCAAAGTCTTTCTACTTATGAGGAATGTGGGGTGGGGGTGGAGAAGCAGGGGAAGAGATTTAAACCTCCTAAAATTGAATATGCTTTTGCTGGTCAAACAGTGGCTACTACCACAGGGTCCTATCCTGAAGCTAGCAAAGGAAAATAATTAGTGCACCAGCAAAGAAACTGGGCAAAGGTGTTCTTGGACATATCCATTACGCAGGCATCTAGGAACAATGCCACATCCAGAAGCACCCCAGACTAGTACACTTGCTCTTTTGGATGAAATGCAATCCCATCTAGAACAATCTCAGGTTATATTTTCTACCGACCAAGATGACATCTAACTTCTCCAGACTGAATCTCAGCTTGTTTGACCAAGGTCCAAACTTAGTTTCAAGATAAAGATTGCAGGCCTCAAGGTCTAATTTTTGGACATCCATATTTCTTTCCCCATGCCCTAATTTTTGTACCACCTGGTGTAATAAAAAAATTCTGGAGAACTTGCAAGCTTACACACTTTTGTAGGTTTTGATTTGTCATAATAAAAGTATTGTTCAACTATGGATTTTGTTTTTCTTTTGTTAAACCTCCAAACCAGAGGTGTAAAACTCAATTTGTACTTGGTCCTCATTGGCATTATGGTTGCCCTCAAAGGTCTGGTTGTATCTGTAAGACTATATAAATGAATCTACTCTTTATCGTATCAAATATAATCCTTATTCAATTATCACTTTTTGACTCTTTACTGCTTGGAATGTTGAGATTAGAAGTCCCGCTGGGCGGATTGCCAGCATCCTTGTGGAACATTATGGGTGAATGAGTAAGCACCTGCGTATTGTATACTACACAGTAGCAGGCAACACTGGGAGGGCCACATGAAATGGCCCAGTGTGCCAGATTCGCCCGCAGGCCTTGAGTTCGCCACATGTGCTCTAAACATTTCACTGCCTTCACCTTTGAAAAACTTTACAGATAATTTCCCCAATCCCCAACCAAAATACAGTAGCAAGACTTTTCTCTCTCCAGAATTTAGGAATCCTGATCTGCTGCAGTCTCCAGGAAGGACATCTTCATTACTCCCTCACTGCAGCACAGATTGTGAGTGCCAAAGAATCTAAAACAAGATATTGAATTTAAGAATATGATCAGTGCAGTAGCAAATACAAATCAACAGTAGCCCTTAACTGCATTTCTCTCACTTGTGAGCATTTTTCTCTTCCTATCAACAGGCAAGGTCTACATTGATTTCTTGTTCCTTGCTGTTCTTTATCCAAGGAATTTACACAGTAATTAGATTGTTTCCCTGCAATGCATAAGAGGCAGACAGCCTGTTGAGCATGGAATCATCCAGTCTTGAACTGGTATAATGCAGTTTTCATTTGGGAGTCTTCCCACAGTTATGGAACATATTTAAAAAACCCACACAGCTAGTACCTGGAATCATCCAGTCTTGAACTGGTATAATACAGTTTTCATCTGGGAATCTTCACACAGTTACGGAAAATAATTTAAAAAAAACCACACACCTAGTACAATAATATGTATCTTTATTTAGAAATAGGGTAAATGTCATTGACAATAAGAGGATTCAGAATAGTTCTGTCTTCCCCATCCCGCCTCCAACATAAATAATATGTATCTTTATTTAGAAATAGGGTGCCATTGACAGTAAGAGGATTAAGAACAGTTCTTTCTTCCCCACCCCGCCTCCAACAGTTTCCCTGAAAATAAGACCTAACCTGAAAATAAGCCCTAGTATGATTTTTCAGGATGCTTGTAATATAAGCCCTACCCCAAAAATAAGGCCCAGTTAAGTGAAACCCCCATCCTCCACCATTGTGCAGCATTCTGCAGCAACCAGAAGATGACATGACTGTAAAATAAAACATCCCCTGAAAATAAGCCCTAATGCATTTTTGGAGCACAATTTATATTAGACCCTGTCTTATTTTTGGGGAAACACAGTAGAGAGTACATCTGGTTTGGAACTTTCTGCTGAAATATCTTATTTTCGGGGAAACACAGTAGAGAGTACATCTAGTTTGGAACTTTCTGCTTGTAAGCACAGAAAGAGCAGCTGCTCCGCTCTTTACCCCTCACCTCAGCCCCAATGCAACTGGGGCTGAGGTGCTGGATAGATAGATGTTCCCTGGCTGCCCAGGAGAGAATTCTGCAGAACTCTGTCTTTAACTTCTCACAGAGGGGGACCTACAACATTCACCGCACGGGACCCCACAATTAACAGCCCCATATATACTGTAGGGGAGAGTGTGGCTCAGAGGCGGAGACAAAGGGGCGAGTGCAATGGTCCTCCGAACATCTCCGGCGACGGGGAGGAAGAGAGCCCGAGGAGGGAAGCCATTTCGAAAGACCCGCACTCCAGCCACCGGCGTACAGACACGTCACATTCTTCGCGGAGCCCAGATCGTCCCGGAATTGGACGAGAGAGGCGCGTCTGCCTTCTCCTCTCTCTTTTTTTTCCTAGTTCCAAAGCTCCTGAAGGGCGCGGCTTCTGCCATAGAATTCTCCAATCTATGGTTTCGGTTTCCAGCTGGTTTCCTTCCGGGCTACAGGGTCAACCGGAAGTAGGAAGAAGAGGGGCTGGAGGGAGTAGGATGGTGGTGGGTCCGGGAGGTGGCGGGGGCTTCGGGATGGTGCTGCCGCCCCTGCTCTTTCTTCAGCTCCTCCTGGCCGGGACCGTGCCGCGAGGAGCCGCTGAGCTCACGGATGGCAACAGCGAGCACCTAAAACGGGAGCATTCCCTTATCAAACCTTACCAAGGTGTGTGCTTGGGGGGGAGCAGAGGTTGTCACTTTGCCATCCCTTCCCTCCTGATGCCCTTCATACCTTCTTTAGCACCGTGGCTTTGTTTGGGAAAGGCGTGGCCTTGTTGTTGACCCCCTTGAGGGGCTTGGTTTCATCTTTTTATCAGGCAGGGAGGGTAGCCAAAGTTTTGGGGACGCGGGAATAATATTGTCCATGATGCACGCATGTTCTTTCCCAAGGCTATATAGCAAATAAAACTCCACAAGCCTCCCTGTATCCTCATCGGTCCGTGAAATTAGAATGGCACTATTAAAAAATGAGAAAGGAGGCTCTGCTTCCTGTAATATGTAAATCTTATTAGAACACCCTGGTAAATAAAGTAGTGCCAATTGTTGTGTTAATTCTCTCTGACCTATGTTATGGATTGATCACTTTCTACTAAATGTTCAACAAAGAAGCTGGAGGAAGACCATGAACGGGATTCCTACCTTTATTAAGTGAGTTTTTAGAATTGATTTAGGTATGTTACTTTGCTGTGTATTTATATATATCTACAGAATCCATTGTCAATTATAATTCCAAGCAGTACTCACAAATAAAAATATTTTTTTTTCTGTAGTGGAAAACTCCTTAGTATCGTTTGTGTTTTTTAGGGGTTGGCTCCAGCTCGATGCCCCTCTGGGATTTTCAAGGAAGCACAATGTTGACCAGCCAGTATGTTCGACTGACCCCTGATGAGCGCAGCAAAGAAGGTTCTATTTGGAACAGAGTGGTGAGTGTAATTTTAATAAAGAAGTGATGGAATGTGACTAAAAGTGATTTTCCTTATAGTTACTAAAAATGTGTGTGCAATCAGTGTTGGAAGGATTTTGTGAAACATTCCCACTGGTGCTTAGGTCAGTTTATTCTGTCTTCTAGCCCTGCTTCCTAAAGGATTGGGAACTCCATGTTCAGTTCAAGATCCATGGAGCAGGAAAGAAGAATCTGCATGGGGATGGTTTTGCTTTGTGGTACACTCAAGAACGCCTTACTACAGGTACTGGGGCAAGTTTAATAGACAGAAAGGTATCTTGCTGTTGTAGATTCTGTTATTATGAGATGGATTGGTTTCTGTACTCAGTGAAGAATTATATTCAACCGAGTTTTTGGGTTTTGCCAGAATCTTCCGGGATTTTTAGTCACACATCAATTGTTGCAATGGAGTATGTGATCCCTGAAATCTTCTTAATTGTTCCACTAACTCCCATAAAACCCTTTGAGACAGGTTGTGTATATTATCCTTGTGTAATTTGAGTTGAAACAAAGAAATTGAGAGAGAAACAAGAAATAGAGTTTCTTGTCTACAAAGCAACTTATTTGGTTAAGTTGTGATTTTTCCTTATTGTTACTATAAGGAACGTGGGTTTCTTATCATAAAACTTTACCTACTTAACATGAGGCTTTAGGAGGTTGTGTATGTGCTACACTTTAGTATACTGTATGCTGTTTCTGAAGCTAGCTAGTCTTCTCCATATCCAAGTATATCTTTTGTTCATATTCTTTGAAAAGAATAAGATGTTCTTTCTCTGAAGGTTATTTGACAGCTTCCAAGTATTTCAGCCTGGCTGGTTCTTTCTTCATGGATGGAATGTTCTCTGTAGTTAACAAACATATTTAGTTTCAAGTTGAGTTTCTGCTGAGTTGCTGGACCTATGGATTTAGCTAAATAAATTTGCAAGGATAGCCCCTTTCACTCTATTGGTCTTTATTTCCCTCAGGCCCTGTTTTTGGAAGCAAAGATAACTTTCATGGCTTGGCCATTTTTCTGGACACCTATCCAAATGATGAAGCTACAGAGGTGAGTAGTGACTGGAATGTGTCTTAAGAGCTACCTGTACTTGCAAACTAAACCTAGAGTGTAATATTATCTGGGAGGAATTGGAGCACATGCAGATAGAAGTTCCATATGCCAAGACAGTTTGTTTGTAGGTATTTAGGATAAAAAGAATGTGCAACATAGTGAAAATTTTGAATTATACTTTATTTTGCAGCGTGTTTTCCCATACATCTCTGCCATGGTGAACAATGGATCCGTGTCCTATGACCATAGCAAGGATGGCCGTTGGACAGAGCTGGCAGGCTGTACAGCTGACATTCGTAATCAAAACCATGACACATTTTTGGCTATCCGCTACTCCCGGGGACGTCTGACGGTAAGCTAGCCCAGGCCTGTACAATGAAGAATTTGTTCACAGTTTGTCTCAGATGCAAACATGGTGGAAGGTTTGTGGTTAGCAAGGATGAATAGGCTGAATCATTACTGTAACAACAATTTTCAGTGAAGTACAAAAGTGACAGTAATTATGCAGAAAATATGGTATGACTGGGCCATCTTCTCTTTCTCAGAAAGGAGATTAAAGTGTACTTCTGTGCTCTCTTCGGGTACCTAAAAAGAGTGCATGTTGTTAATGTTCTCACTTATAACCTTTTTTCCAGGTGATGACAGATGTTGAAGATAAAAATGAATGGAAAAATTGCTTTGATGTTGCAGGAGTCAGACTGCCCACTGGCTACTACTTTGGAGCATCTGCTGGTACAGGAGATCTGTCTGGTGAGTGAGGCATAATTTGCTGTACAGCCTGAATGTGCTAGTCTAGATAAATCAGAGCCACCATGGGGTAGAATGAGCATATTCTATTCACTGGACAAATTTACATCTGTTACCTCTTCCCTGCTATTGGAATCTTTAAAGGGAAGTGAAAAGGCCTTCTGCCTCTAAGGAAAGGAAATTAAACATGATCTTATAATGTCCCATTGCCACATAATTGTTTCCTAGACAATCATGATATCATCTCAATGAAGCTGTTCCAGCTGATGGTAGAACATACACCAGAGGAAGAAAATATTGATTGGACAAAGATTGAGCCTAGTGTCAGCCTCCTCAAGTCACCCAAAGGTGAGTTACTGGTGTTTCTGCCTTGAATACTCTATGAACCAAATGGAAGGTCAAGCAATAGACTGAGATGAAGATCTGGATATTCTCTTGTAGAAAGTACATTTTATAATTCCCAATGCAAAACTACAAGAAAGTAATTCCAGGTCTAAATATATCATGCTGAATACAGTGTTGCTTTCAAATAAATGTATTTTAAGACTTACGTTGTGTGCATGTGTAAAGATTAATATTACATTTTTCATGTAGTCCTATGAAGTTTTAATAGTATCAGATTGGATTCATTTTCAGTTGTTGATTTGTTTGTTTGCCATGTTCAATAAAAGACCTTTCCAAAACTTTTGATATTGTCTTTGTAATCGTCTTTCCTGGAAAAGCTGCATACAGGATCTATAAAAGTGTACTATGTTTCACAAAAGTCATGTCCATGTGAAAATTCTTTAGTTTTTGTTGTTATCCAAATTAAATCCTCTAAAATAACTTTAGAGTTCTCCATGTTTATGCGTGTGTTGAAATCTTCTTTACTGTTTTCTGATCTGGTATTATTCTGTGTTCTATAATCCTCTGGTATTCATTGTTTCTAGAGCTCAGAATTTTGCTAGCCTGTATGAATTAGTTCCTTATCTACCATCAGAACATGTGTGTTGTAAATGTTTAACTCCCTAAATTCTCTTCTCTTCTTCAGATAATGTTGATGACCCAACAGGAAACTTCCGTAGTGGACCTTTGACAGGCTGGAAAGTCTTCCTGTTGCTGTTGTGCTCTCTGCTTGGCATCATTGTGTGTGCTGTGGTGGGAGCTGTGGTCTTCCAGAAACGCCAGGAGCGGAACAAACGATTTTACTAGCAGGGGGTGTGGGCCCAGATTCTGGGCGCTTTGGGAATATTTTTTTACAGTGGGGGAGGGAGAATTGTATAAACTCTGATTTTTAAAAGGCTCTTTCAGAGAAATATATGGAATATTTTCATATCTTTTTTTGTCTTGGGAACACTAGCCAGACAAGCTGTGTCAAACAATTTGGAATAGAAGGTGTAGCCCTAATTAGGAGCCTGGTTTTTCTCTTTCCTGAATGGTATTCAGAGTCATTCGGCTTATTTTTTAACATCTTGATTTAAGGGAAAAAGCAAATGGAGCTGTGTTTAGATGTGAGAAATTGTAAGTATTCCTCCTCTGTGGAGCATGGCTCTGCATGCCAGCTTTTATCAGCTGGTGGTTTCTCTAACAGGATAGTATTTCCATACTCCTGCTAACCCTGCTGGGGTATTTTTTTATACAGCCCACAGACAAATCAACTGCAACGTGGGTGTTTTGAACTGAATGTACTTTGTATAGTCTCAGAGCTTCTGGTATTACTGGGACTGAGACTAGACTACCCCACAACAACTAGTAACCATCAAATGTGATTTTCTCCTTTGGTGATGGAAACTGTGAATGCATTGACTTGGGAGAGTGGAAGGTTGATTTTTCCCCCCAGTCACTGTGGAGTATGTGCTACTATTTGGTGACAGACGCTGAAACTCCATATCATTAAGCATCTGAAATTGGTGATTCTGGTGACAGGATTGTATTTTGCCATAGCCACATCACTGTATGTGCATTTGGAAGACAATTGGTTGAAAAGAAATGTGTGAAATAAAAAGGAAAATGGATCTTAGCTTGTGGTCCTTCATAATTATCAATGGTATTTTCTGTTATGGATACCTTTAATGTGATGCAGCCTGATGGCTTGAGCTCCAGATGCACTGTTGGCATGTACATACCACTTTTCCAGGCCATTTTGCGGATGGGTGGGTGAAAGGCTGCACTGGCGGGCAAAGGTTGGTTTATGGGGAAGGTACACCTATGGATGTGGCTAGACCAGGCAAGGCCACTTGCCCACACTTTCTATTTCATATACAGAGAAATAATACTAGAAGACCTCCTCCTCTAATAAGGGGAATTTGGGGAAAAGGTAAAGCTTCCTCTCACCAGTGTTTTTAATAAGGATTGGAGGAAGTATGGTTGATGCTCCTTCCCCCAGCAATCCTGCCTTCATCAAGATCACAATGTGTTTGGGCAGAGTTGGGGGTGATGTTAGCTTGTTTCCCCACTCATTCTGATCAAGGTACAGTAGTTGTTATACTGCTGCTAAAAGCAGGACCAGGACATCCATCTAGTTTGATTAGCTGGAGATGGTGGGAATAGGAGAATAGGTGAATCTCTATGGGTTGCCATCCTCTGCTGTGGAAATATTTTTCATAAAAAATTTGAATGTGTTATGAATTTAGTGTTGGGAAGGAGGACCTAGTATATTGCTCCTGTATTATTGTTGCGCAGAAAATTTTGCAGGTTTTTTTTAGCTTGCCTACCATTAAACAGCCTAATAATTGCAGTGTTTTCGTGAAGGCTTCCACGGCCGGGATCTAATGGTTGTTGTGGTTTTTTTGGGCTGTTTGCCATGTTCTGAAGGTTGCTCTTCCTGGCGTTTCACCAGTCTCTGTGGCCAGCATCTGAAAAATCCACAACAACCAATTACAGTGTTGTTCATATTTAACATTTTAAAAAATTAAGATTGCATCTTTGGTCTGGGCCACTGCAGTCAAGAATCTGCAGCTGAGCAAAGTGATTCTTGAAATGGAAAGGTGGCATAATTGGTTCCTTTAAGCAAATCCAAAAATTGGGTTTTGCTTATTGGAATTACGTTCAGTGTTCGCATGTTTTCCATGTAAAACTGCTTTATTGGACCCCTTATATCTTCACAAATGCCCTGAAAGATGTCTGCAGAATTGAAGCCAGTCAGTGTGGGTAAGACAGTACTGATATAGGGAGGCGGTGATCCAATAATATAATATGGGAATTCCTATGATCTTAGCAATACCATTGATTATAGATAGGGAGAAATCCTAAGAGAGAGAGAGAAAGCTACTATGTAATATGTGGTGGAAGATGAAAAATGAATAAGGAATGGGGAGCATTGCATATACAGAGTAAACCTAGGCCCAAATTCACCACTTTGATTTCCGTTCCAATCTTAGTCACCTCAATCCCATACTTTTCTTTTTGCCAACTCTCACTTTCTTCAGAAAACAAAATAGTTCTTGTGTTAAAAAATGCAAGATATGGAAGATGGAAGGATATATTTAACACATTCTAGAATATCATCCTAGAGAATGAAGGGAAAACTTGAGGGGATAATGATCCTTTGCTGCTTGAAACAAATGCATATTCCTTATGTACCTGGCTGTAGGAAAAGGGTTGAATGTGATGGATGAAGGGTTGCTGCCTATTATTTGTGGTTCAGAATAACAGAAGGGGTAGCATTTTCTTTGCTCAGTCTCAACATATTTACTACATACTTTGTGGGGAAATGCAGTGAAGGAACTTTGCTAGTCTGTTTTGGCTCACTACTTCAGATGTATGCATGAAGCATAAATACTGTAGTCAAGTCACAGGTTCATAGGTACAGTGATTGAGATAGTACTATATGAAATGAGATTAAAAAAATAGGACAGACAAGCTAGTCTATATGCAGAACAGTACATGGACACAGAACTGACAGAGACTGTAATAATCAGAAACCAGCAGAACTGTTTCTGAGCCTGAACAAAAGAACATCAAAGACAGATGCCAAAGCAAAACAGCCAGCAATGTGCATTGGCTCCCAGCTTGGCCCATGACTAACAAGGATACAGATTTATGCCAAATGTTTTTGGAGACACTCTGCTCCTTCTTGCATGTGCTGGTATTTGTGTATGTCCATATCTCGGGGGGGGGGGGAATCCTATTGGGATTGGGAAATGCAAATCCTATTACTTGGAGTGAGGGCTACTTTGTCCCATTGCAATTAATGCCCTTATTTAGAGATTCTTCCTAGCACATCAGCAGTCGGAGTCTAGAAGAGATACCTTGGGCTTGTAGGTGGTAGGGGAGAATTAATCTATCTGTCTTCCCCTTCCACTCCAACTCACCTTCTCCTCTTTTTCCCCACTTGTAGTTATATATTTTTATTTAAATATTTTTGGTACCAAAAATGCCAAATTTAATGCAAAAGACACCCCCCTGCCATGCTCCTTAATTCATCCCATAATTGCCATGGGAATGCACAAACAGCGCTGCTTTTTCTGATGGGTTGTTACTTAGTGTATGGTGCATATAAGTAAACAAAAATACCTTGAGGTTAAACTTTGATCTCCTTGGCTTTAAGTAAATATATGGGCTTTAAATCTCATTTTATATATTAATTGAATTATCCATTCTTTATATTAAAACTCTACCGTCTATAGAATGATTTTTTTCAACAGATTGTCTCTGCCTTCACATTAAAAAAAAAACCCACACACCAGATAATATCTGGTAAGCAAAAAACATTGTTTTAATACTTGAGAGGGGTAACTGACACATGTAACTAATGCTAGGATGTTTATGCTAACCAGACCTGTAAAAGTTTGTAACCGGTCTTAGTAGTACAGTTGGCGTTTTCTGTATCTCATTCCATTCTGTCCCATCCCCCTAACCAGAGTTTATGTACCCTGGCTTGAATATTGTATTTCATGCACCTGAAGAAACCTATGTGACAGCTCAAGCAGAATAAAATACACTTGATAGTCTTGAAGGTTCTGCAAGACACACTCACACTCTGAGTATTATACATGGGATCACGAAACACAAACCACTGTTAATATTTAACAAATGTATTTCATTGTGAGTTTTTCCAGTTTACAATTCACCTCCTGAGACACAAAACAAAGTGGATGGCAATTTACGAAAACTCACTCTGAAGAAAATTAAATTGACTTTTTGATTGAAAATATTTTTTTACCCAGCCTTTCTCCTTAAAAAGAAACCTGTTGATCTCAAAGGTGCTTAAGACTGTACAGTACTTTTTTCAGTTGTAGCCATGTTAGCCTGTGCAAGTATTTCGACAAGAAACACAAAACAAAAGACGTTGTGGCACTTTCAACACTGAAGTGGAAGACAATGCTCCGTGAAAGTTCACATTAAAATATCGCAGTTAGTCTTTAAAGTGGCACGTTTTATAAATTATTATTTGTTTGTTTGTTTGTTTCTGTTTTTGATGCTGAACCGGACTACAGTACCTCTCAGTAAACGGTTACACACCTTAGCCAGTAAGTAACACGTTGGCGCTCGGCCAAGCCCGGACTTCCCGCCGCCTCGCCCGCCCGCCGGGAACGGCCACTTCCTGTCCAAGAGGATCGCCGGGAGTTGTAGTCCCAGCTCACAGCCGAGCCTTTGGCGGCAAGGGTTACGTGGCTCGAGAGCCGGAGCGGAAGTGAGGCGCAAAGGGCGGCGCGATGGCGGCTCCGGGTTGTCGGTTGCGTGGTCTCTGGCAGCTGCTGCTCCTCTTGGTGGCCCGGCTGGTCTCTCCCGGGTGGGCTCTTTACTTCCACTTGGGCGAGACCGAGCGCAAGTGCTTCATTGAGGAAATCCCCGACGAGACCATGGTCTTAGGTGCGGAGAGGGCGAAAGAGGGTCCTCGGAGGGCGGAACGGGGTCGCGAGGGACTGGCGGTGGAGGAGGCATGGCATGGCATGGGGTGGGTGGGTGTGTGGTGTGTGTGTGTGTGTGTAGAAAGATGGTGGCGGTGGTGGTACGAGTACGCGACCGAGTGCTTTGGCGGTGGGGGCGGCCAACTCTCTCCTCATCATCCTGCTCCCTTCTGCATCGCAGGGAATTACCGGACCCAGCTGTTCGATAAACAACGGGAGGAGTACCTTCCTGCTACACCGGGCCTGGGCATGTTTGTGGAAGTGAAAGACCCTGATGAAAAGGTACTGTACATATATATCATACACGTCTATGCATATATTTTATGTAGGAAGGCGCCCCAAGGGCTCAAGAGTTTGTTTTGGTGTGTTCCTCGGTCTAGGGGCAGAAATGAAACCTCAGAACCTTCTTGGTACAAACTATTCACTCCTTGATTCAGGCAGATTGGGCGGAAGGCAGTTTGGGATCTCTAGTCATTGGGATGATTTCCAGTAAATAGGCACGTATTTCTGACTCTTGATTGCTGCACCTTCAATTACTGTAAAATGACTCCAATTTGCATGGCCAAAAGCAGATTTCTGTGCATGAAAGCATACTGAGTTCCATAAGGTATTCAAAACAAACTACAGTACTGAGATAATAGCACACTGACTCTGTTGCTGGCATGAGGGAACAGAATTGTTCTGTTTTTTGTTTTGGAGAAACAAGACTAGTGCATTGAGCTTCCTATATAAGGTACTTCAGGGCTACTACTGTTTTGGATAACTCAGCACTGGATACAAAAAAGGAGAAGGCTGGGTTGTTCTAGAAAGGTAAAACAAAATCCGGAATCAATAGATGAGTGTGACCTGTATTGGGATCATCTGTAAATACATAAAATATGGGAGATTTTTGAACTGTGTAGAAATATTCATCAGATTAAACATTTGGGAAGGAGGGAACAATTCACCTTCTCTGCAGGAGCAAAAACAATACCATATGTCTGCATTGGTCACAGACAAAATACAGATGTCTGAAGAAGTGGACTTTGTCCACAAAAACTCACATTAAATTATAGCATTTAGTTTTGAAGGTGCTACAACATTTTTGTCTTCTTTATTTTTGGTTTTGGTTTTGCCTGATAACTAAAATACAAGATCCTTTGTAGGCCTTATAAGGGTATTTGCCTCCATCTTCACCTGTTTCCCCTGCAGTTTGCCAGAAGTCATGTGAGGCCTGCACTACTCTCTGAGCCATAAGGCACACCTTGGAACATGGAACATTGTTTGCAGTTCTCCAGTACTAGAAACAACTAGCCATGTATTTAGATTTTCAGCATTTTCTCTGTTTCCTCTTCTCTTTTCTTTTAGGATCTAGCCTGATGAAGAGTTCTGTAGAACATAAGTGTTCCTCTAGTTTATATATTTTCAATTGATCCTAATGAAGATTTTGCCCTCCTGTGGATTTTGGATCCTGGATTGTGTTAAACATTAGGTGGAGATTTAGTTTTTGAAATAGGATAGCGTCACTGGCAAACTATCATTTGTCTCAGAAGCTTTTGCGTAGTGCTGCACCATCTCCTTACAGATGTTGTGCCAGTGTTGAATGACTGTTTAACATGATCCTCATTTCCAAAAGAGTATGGGCAGCATGGATTTTGAGGAAATAGTTTACTATTATATGTAGCAAACTGAATTTTCTAATATTTTTATCCTGTTCTCTTGATATGAAAAAGCTTTATTTGTCACAAAAACACACACATCTGCCACAGAAGTTATCAGCTGGCTTTAGAGACATTCAACTGTCATTCCCCCTACCCCTTTTCAAGTTCTTTAATGAACTTTTTGTTTTATAATGCATTTGATTTATGACACAAAAGGCTACTGTAGATTGAGACTGACCTCATTAGAATTGATTCTAAGCATGGAAACATGCCCAAGACACTGAATGCATAATGCAGAGCAAGAAGGCATGGGAAAGAAGTTCAGAAATGATTTACTAATAGTCTTTGAATGGTTAATGTCTGTTTGAGCTAGAAATTAGAAGATAAACAGCATAAGTGTCATGTTCTTCTCTGTGTTTGTAGGTGATATTATCCCGGCAGTATGGCTCAGAGGGCAGATTCACTTTTACTTCACACACACCTGGAGAACATCAGATCTGCCTGCATTCCAATTCAACAAAGTTCTCCCTTTTTGCAGGAGGCATGCTGGTAAGAGGATCTGTTGTGTAGTGGAAGGGAGCAGTTCCAGGCCATTTTTGTTGGTATCCTGTTCTCATGTGTCTCTGCAGTCCAAGGATTTTACTATTAATGTATTCACGAAGGCTTTCACAGCCGGGATCTAATGGTTGTTGTGGGTTTTTCAGGCTCTTTGGCTGTGTTCTGAAGGTTGAACGTTTCTCCAGTCTCTGTGGCCGGCATCTGTTCTGAGGGGTCTCCTCGCTGAACGACCCCGGCCACAGAGACGAGAAACGTTCAACCTTCAGAACACAACTAAAGAGCCCCAAAAACCCACAACAAGCAATGATTTTACTTTTATTTTCTTTCTTTTCTGATTTTTCTTACAGAGAGTCCACCTTGATATCCAGGTTGGAGAGCATGCCAATGATTATGCTGAGATTGCAGCCAAGGATAAACTGAGTGAGCTGCAGTTGCGTGTGCGTCAGCTCCTGGAACAGATAGAGCAGATCCAGAAAGAGCAGAACTACCAGCGGGTAAGAGGGGAGGGACTTGAGCTCAGTGGCAGAACCTCTGCTTTGTGTGTAGGTAACTCCAAGTTCAGTCCAGAGTGAAAGGAGCTTGGTAGCAGTTGAAAAGAAACAAAATTCTTCCTGAAACCTTGGAGAGATGCTGCCAGTCAGAATCAGAGCTTGGAACAGTTATTCTTTAAAGGGTAGGTGAGACTAAGTCTCAGAATCCTATGGCCAGCAGGACTGGATTTTAGAATGCTCTGTCAGAATAAATATTGTGCAAATGTGAAATCATCACACTTGACGTAAGGCAGCTTCCCTCCCATAAGGCTGCTGTGTTCATATGAGATCCTGCTCAAGCCCCCAGTAATATTCTCTAAGAAACTTCTATGCTCATGTAATTCAGACTTGTACTATTCCCTAAAGCTGGGCACACTAAAGATTTTCAGGGGACAACTGTTCCCTTAGAATAATTTCATGGTGGAAAACAAGGTTCTCTAAGGTGTGTGGCTCCATGTGACTCTGCCCCCTCCACACAGCTTTCCTCCTCTGTGCACCCTAGTCAGTATGGAACCCTGCACAGGGTGCAGAGTCACCCAGCAGGGCTGAAAATTGGAGGGAATGTTAATGGATAAAATAACTTGTTGGCTCTTAATTATGAATAGCAAAGAATAGAAGCTTAAACTGTTCTTCCCCCTTCTCTTTTGCTCAGTGGCGAGAGGAGCGCTTCCGGCAAACCAGCGAAAGCACCAACCAGCGGGTTCTTTGGTGGTCCATTGTCCAGACTCTCATTCTTGTAGCCATTGGAGTTTGGCAAATGAGGCATCTCAAAAGTTTCTTTGAGGCCAAGAAGCTGGTATAAAAAGAAGGTGCCATCGGCAAAAGGCCTGTATTTCCCACAGGACCAGTTCCCAGTGCTTCAGATGCCCACTCTGGTCCATCTTCTCTCCTTAGTCATCCTTTCCATCAGACTGGTCACTGGCCAGGCTCAGTGTCATCTACCTCTTCTGCATCCCTTTCCAACTCTATTGGTATCCAGCCTGCTGTGATTTCCATGCAGTGTCCCAGCCCATGGGATAATATGTTCCCTCCAGAGGATCAAGACCTGTCCACTCTTGCTGCTCCTCATCCTCTTCAGCATTGTGCAAGGAGTTTGCAGGGAGGGAGATTCTGTGACCTGCCTTTCGACTGCCTCTCAGCATGTCCTTTGTCAAAACTAGACTCTACTTTGAAGGACATTTGGGACTCTTTCTGTAGCAGCCTCACTAATGTCAGAGCCAAGGGACTGCTGCAAGTTTTGAGCCCTGCTGTACTTGTACTTGCTCTGACTTCTTAATGTCACCAGTGCTTAACAGCACCAAGAAGGAAAGCACTAAATTAGAAAATCTGAAGGCTGTGCCTGCAGTTCTCTTGTCCTGTATGATCATAATATGAATGGGATGCAGAGTAAGCTTGGGGTGGACTGCCATGGGATTGGTGGAGCAATATTGAGAACTGTTTCTGAAATGCTTTTGTGTGTTTTGTTGGGGGTGTTGGTATGATAATCACTGGGCTGCTGATCTTAAGTATTGAAGATTTTGTGACTCCATGTCTTCCTTTTAGAATTAAATTAGCTGTTCCTGTATACATGCAGCCCCTATTTTTCTAAGAAATCAGTGCTATCTTTTCGATCTAACATAAAGCTATGAACAGCTGTGGGCTTGGTTAGAGAATACTGCTGCTTATAACAAGACTATGTTGTAACTGCATATGGGCAGAAACTGCTGGTTCAGTGGATGGCTGAACAGGTGTGTTCTGGTTCAGTATCCTGCCGCCTCTGAGTGGGCGCCCACTCGAGGCAGCACACAGAGGAGGTGTGGCAGGGAATCCAGGATGCTGCTTCAGAGTGGGCGCCCACTGGAGGAGACAGAGTGGTGAACTGCAGAACACATGTTCAGCCATTTACTGAACCTGCAATTTGTGCCTTTTCTAGTTGTAACACATTTGTTCCCTGTTGCTCCACCAACCCAGTCCAAATTATTCTTGGATGTAAGTTCTGCTTATTTTTATGAATTTCTGTCTATTGATTTCAAGTAATTTTCCATAATTTTGCAGCCCACATCTCCATGGGATTTGTTTTGCTAAGAACATTTCTGAACACCCACTGAAAATACTATATGGTTGTAATCCCAACAATATGGAAGAATTTTCTCATTCCTCCATCAAATTTTGGGGTTGAAGAGGAGAAGATGGCTTGGTTCAGATATAGCCATCTCAAGCCAATGGCATATGTGGTCATATATTTCTTCTCATCTTGTGTACCTATCCTCTGTACTAAGTTTTAGATGTTTACCTTTGTTTGGAATAGAGTTGGGCACGCTTTGGTGGATTGGGCCCAAAAGAGTTGCTTGGGCTCGCTGGATTCTCTTCCTCAACTCCTCCAGTGGGTGGCAATTCAGAAAAGGAGGGGCAGGAAAGCATAGGGTGCTGCTTCTGAGTGGGTGCCTGTGGGAAGAGGTGGGTGGAGAATATGAGGAGCCCATGCAACACCTGTGGTTACGATCAACTGAACTGCGCCAAAGCTGTGAACCACTCACAGTTCATGCCCATCTCTAGTTAGGAAATAATGGGACCTTATACAGTATATGCTGGCTTACGTAATGGGACTTTATGTAAACCAACATATATGTGCCAAATCTGGGTCTAGAAAGGGAGGGGGAAGGATGAACTATAATGGCACCTGGATCTTTTTTTGGTGTAGGAGAGATCTTCGTATTTGAATCTGGCTCTTATGTATGGAGAATTATCTGAAGAGTCTGTTATTCATCTGCATTCTGTTTTGCTTATGAATATTAGCAGAGGAATGTTTGTATTTGTTTGGATTCTAGTCATGTTGTTTTCTGTTTAATCTTGTTCAGCCATGGGGGATGACCTATTGAAGAGTGGTTTTACTATTCATTCAGTTGCTCTATCATCACATAATATATTCATTACTGCTTTCCCCCATAAAACTTCAAAACGTGTGTTCCTTCCCCCCCCCAATCAACAGCAAGAAATTATGTATTATTTGCTTAGTTTCATACTTAATCTACACATTGGTTCTCTGTATGGATAAAATGGAGGGTTTTCTTACTTTACCTAAATGTGAAAGGGAAAGGTTGCCTGACCAGAATGCAGAACTATTTAGAGAAGGCAGGGATCTATAAATTGCTTGGAACAATTTCAGTGCATTTTGTGACTCAATAGGATTAGCATATTAATTTCTGAAATGAACCTTAAGACTCTTTTGCTTGCTTTTACCCTGAATGTTTTGTGACTGGATTAACAATTGGCATGTTGGAGTACTGTTACTGAGATACTTGGGAATGGCCTTAAGTTTGGACAAGGTTTAGTCCCCCTTGCTGAACTGAATTTCCTAATGAGTCCAGCATGTTGGGAGCTATGAATCTAATTTTCAGATAGCAGAGCTTTTTGAAAACTGAGGGCTTGAATTCTGTTCCAAGGAGCTCCTTGAGGCCAAGTTTTCTTACAGGACTACAGTTTGGTGGTAGACATTCTAGACTGGTCTTTATTTGTATTAGAGCACTGCACAATTTAAAATTACGAACATATGTGAAATATAGGTAAAATCTTTAAAATATTTAAATGTTAAGATAGACTAACAGACTATTTTTGAGGAAAAGCAGGGTACTTCAGTAACATGTCTGATGAAGTGGACTTGTCCACAGAAGCTCACATTAAAAATATGAACATTAGTCTTTAAGGTGCCCCTACATTGTAATCTTTTAATTTTTTTTTTTTACTTTTTATTTCTATATTGCGTTTACCTATATCACAGACTTATAAGGATGTCCCTTCTACAACTACTTCAATAGCTTTATCTTGGCCATTTACTGGATCTTCTTTAGTACAAGTGGCGGGGCATGAATTGCAAACATTTAAGTGCTGCATTTATTGAATTTCTCCACAGTCACAGAAAATTTGTCCTGTATCCAAGTAGCCCCATTTTACTTGATTACTCTGCTCTTCTTACATTACTGTGAAGCCTATTCTGTGACTTCCAGATGGTCCAGCTTGAGTCTTGTTGCTAGACAGGTGGAGGAGGAGTCCTATACTACATGGATTAATGGTGTTATTAGAATGTGATGTGTTAGGGAAAATACCTTTTTTATTTCTCCCCCTAAATACCATACACTTACGATGATCTGAGTTTGTTATCAGTATATCTCCAATTAAGAAGTTCCAAGATCCCAGCCCTCTTACGCCTATGCTTGCAAAGGAGACCAGTTTCTTATCGTTGTGACCCAGTGGAGAGGAGCACTTAATTTGATGACAGTTTAAATATTTCACAATATATATATAAAGGCAAGCCCTGGTTGCTACTGTATTTCTGGGTCAGAAGGAAATTATTAAAGGTGAACTTTGTTTCCAACAACGTGTACTGACTTTATTGCTTTCTAACCTCTAGTTTCTTATTGGTATGTGTTATTAATTGAAATTTAGGATGATCCTAAAACTTTCTACAGGAGTGCATAACATGGTCCATTATAAACTTCTGGGTACAGTACTCCATTTCAAGACACTTAAAATACATTTCTGCGTCAAAAGGAGTTAAAAAATTTATTTTTCATTCCACCCGAATTCGGATCCACTGTCGATCATTCTCCCAATGTTCAGAAACATTTCAGGCTATCCCAAAGCGATTTTTGCTGCTCTCCCGTCTTGATGTGCATTCGTTGTTTTAAAGGTTTATATAGGAAGATATACTACAGTTCTTAAAAACAAAACAAAAAAATCAGTCCTGCCCATCCAAGTTATTCCAGGCGTCTGCGACTCTTCTGTCACTGCCGGAGGAACTTCCGACGTCTTGCCTTCGGCTGCGCCTTCGCCTTCGCCGGGGAACAAGAACGACTGGAACAGTCAGCGAAGGAAGCTGTTTCCGGAGGAGCTCCCTGGTTGACGGACCTGGTGTCCAAGCCAACGTGGCTCGGGCGAGAAGGACTGCCGGCGGGGCGGGAGGATGTTTCCGACCCGGCGCAAGTTTGATATGTATCGACGTCCGGGAGGCAGGTAAGTATCCGGACATTATGAGAGAAAGGAATTGCAAAAAAGGTATGGAGGAAGTACCATAGGAGGAATATTCCGGTAATCTTGTTAAAAAGAAGCATCAGCGGTTCGACTTGTGGCAGGACCCTGGGATTCCTGCTAAGCTTCCGTCCCAAAGTATCTGTGGACCCATCCTTCTGTCACTCTTCAGTGAACAAGAAATATAACCCCTCCTATGGTTGCTGCGGAGAGAGTAACAGGATCAGCTCTCTGCTGGCTAGGAAACAAGTTTAGCCTTCCCCGTAATGAGAACGCAGAAGAGTTTACTTGCCGGAATGAATGGCAAACGGCTCAAAGGACGGACTGAGAGGCGGTGCTGAAGGTGTTTTGGTGAGGGAGGCAGCTGGGACAAAAGCCGAGAATGAGAGATCGCACCGGGCTCTTCCTCTTCTGAAAGCTGGCGTTTTGTAGTCTGCTGAAGAAATACTGTAGTAGCAAACTGTGTTATCTCTGAGTCAGTGCAGTTGCTCCCTTTACCTCCTGAATAAACAGAGCCATCGATTACACATCTGGGGTTAGGTTTCAAGTCGGAGAATGTAATTTGGAGGCAGAATTGAGAACCTTGTTATAGGCAGCCTATTTCAGATGAATATGTGGGGATAAGATCAGTTCTTAGAGGAACTCACTGTCTAATCTGTGGGGTGTTCACTTGATGACAAGTCCCACTGTGTTCGGTAAACCTTGTTCATATATTAAGTCCTTTGGATTGTAACCTAAAAGTGTGACCCTGTAAATCTGGAAGATCCTGGCTCACAATATGCATACTAGGTAACTTAAGATGCCACTCATCTGACAAATACTATGGGATCAATATTGAACTGCCTTACACAATGCTAGTTTGTACAGATTACCAAAATAGCATGTAAACCATGTTGAAGGTTTATATTAGGCAAGATCTGTTGGTTCTCCTGATATTTTGGATTGTAACTTTTGGTGACTCCACCTAGCATGAACATTGATGAGGAAATTATGGGAGCTAAACTCCAAAACATGTGGAGGGCCAGAGGTTCCTACTCCTAGGGCATGTCTTCTCAATCCTCTCTATTTTATTTTTACCATGTGGCAGTCGTTTCATGCTGAATGTCTTATGGGCAGAATGAGGGACTTAAACACTAGCTTCAAGAGTAATCCTTGTGCTAACAGGGCATGGTTTCTGTGGAGAACTCTGTGATGCGTTATAGTTGTCTCCCCCTCATTTGCATATAGGGTACTCCATTATTTCTCACTGTGTTGCATTGCCTTGTTCTGATTTTGCTTCAGGTCCTGTCAGCTGCTGGGCATCCTACCCTGGAAATGCTCTCTCTTTCAGCTCTTCTTTGTTGCTCTGTTGCTGGGTTTCCTTTCCCTGTTGTGGCTGCAGCTGAGTTGTTCAGGTGATGTAGCTAGAAGTCAAAGAGCTGAAGCAACAAGACTGAAAAAACCTTGCATATCTGAGCCTCTTCCTCAGCTTCCTGATGACCCATCATGGGGACCCCACCGCCTTGCAGTATTGGTGCCTTTCCGAGAGCGCTTTGAGGAACTGCTAGCTTTTGTACCCCACATGCATCGCTTCCTCAGCAGGAAGAAAATTCGCCATCATATCTTCATACTCAACCAGGTGGATCATTTCAGGTACTGTAAAATATGGGTAAATGTGATCCTCATACTTATCCTCCCCCCCCCGCCTCCAGTCTATGTTTTAGTTTTTTCTGTACTCTAGGTTTGGTACCTTGGAATAGCTTTGAGCATATTGTTGATACAAAAGGAACAAAAACGGGGTTACTCCAGGGTTGGAAAATTAATTTCTATAGGGGGCCACATGAAAAATCTGAACTGTGTTTGGGGGTGGGTAGCAATTTGTGGGTAGTAATAGGCCCCCATTGGGTGAGGCCCTGTGGTGAACAAACTACAAGGCTGACATAGTGGACTCCGTAAACTTTTTAGGGAGTTAACTATGTGAGCATTGTAATTTGTTCACTGCAGGGGGTAAAGAAAAAAAAACACACTGAGCTAACTCACCTGTCCTCCGTTCCCCTGTGGCCCTCCTCTCCAACTGTTTTCTATCCTGTGCAGGCGACGTGATGCGTCATCACGTCGCCTGCGCAAGGATCGCTTCTGGCCTCTTGAGCCACAGGCTCCACAGCCTGTGGCTCAAGAGTAACAGTCAAAACTCACGAGAGCATCAGATCTTGTGAGTTTTGCTTACTGCTGTGCTGGGTGACTGGAGCCAGAGCAATTGGCGGGCCGGACAGGAGTGGCTCTCGGGCTGTATGTGGCCCGCATGCCGCACTTTGCCCATGTCTGGGTTACTTTGTGATCTGCAATGGATCTCATATGTTTCTTCCACCTGGGGAATGTGTAAGCTGGAGATAATATCTGAGTTCCCTCTGCCCCATTGAAACAATGTTTGGATATTACTAAATGTCATAAATATTTGGTGGTAGTAATTATGTGCTGCCAAGTCATTTCCTATTCATTGCAACTTCCGTTTTCTGGGTACATATTATTTATTATTTTATTTATTTAATTTATATCCCGCCTATCTGGTCGGGTGAGGACCACTCTGGGCAGCTAACAATCATACAAAAATACAATAAAATAAAAATAGACAATTCTAAGTGATAAAAACTCTACATGAGGTTGCACGATACACATATATAATACGCCAACATAATTTCGTAAACTCTCCATCTGGTGGCACTGTGGAACCATATTTACAGCTAAATAATAGTAACTAGCTAGCTGGCCGATTCAGGGAACTGCAATTAAAAAAGTAACATTTCCAAGCTCTGGCTGGGGTGCTTTTAACTAGGTTTGACCAATTCACCACCTCCAGCCTTTTCTAAATAAAGTGTAAGTTGCCTCTGTTCTATAACATGTGCCTTAGTTGCCTCCAGGCTAGATTTCTGTAGTCTTAACAAAATCTGGAAGGTATGATTATGTGGCTGAGTTTGCCTTGGTAGAATCTAACTCAGTTCTGCTCACTTTGGTTTCTTGGCTAGATTTAACAGAGCATCTCTGATCAACGTGGGCTTCTTAGAAAGTGGAAACGACACAGACTACATTGCTATGCATGATGTGGACTTGTTACCTCTCAATGAGGAATTGGACTACAGCTTCCCAGCTGCTGGCCCTTTCCACGTGGCATCTCCTGAACTGCACCCTCTTTATCACTATAGCACCTATGTGGGTGGCATCCTGCTGCTTACCAAACAACACTATCGACTGGTAAATCCCAAGTGTTTTTCTCAAAAAAAGACTAGTGGAATTTTTCAAGAAGGTTATTTTGGGTCTAATTATTTTGAGGGTGGACGGTTTAAATCTGGTATTCTGTATTTGCTAACTTCAAGGATATAATGCCCCCCTCCTCCTGAAGTCTGTTCTGAACTGTGCCTCAAGTCATATAGCAGCGTGCTTTACAGTCGCTGGTGGGAGTCTTGTTGGAGGGATGTATGTTTGAGATTAATTATACCTTTTGTTTCAGTGTAATGGAATGTCCAACCGCTTCTGGGGTTGGGGTCGGGAGGATGATGAATTCTATCGCCGCATCAGAGGAGCTGGACTTCAAGTGAGGAGGAACATGGCTTGGGGTGAAGTTTCTGGGTCTTAAGACTCAGGTTCTTAATGGCTTCTAGGCAGAGCTTGAAAATATACTCGTAAAAAATAATTTTATTATATAACTTGAATAAAAAACAATAGTGACTTGCAAATATGATTTTATGTTTTAAAAGTTAGCTTGTTCTGTTACTGGTTACTTTGGGTTTAAAAAACAATTAATAAGAGAATAGCAGTTCTGCTGATTTTGGTTTCACTTGAAAAATTCATTTCAAAAGAATTCTTTTAAGAGTTATAAATTACTAGGAAAACACTGCTATTACATCAAAACAGTAACAACAGTGCTGTTAACACTATTGTCTTTGTTATCAACAACATATAGAGTTACAGGTGCCAAAATATTTGTAATGCATTATTTCCAAGCTCTGTCTCAGATCCCACTTTTTATGATTCTGTGCGTTTTACTCAGGGGTCTCTCAGAGTTCTGTCTCCTGTGTTATTTAACATCTACATGAAATCACTGGGAGAGGGCTATTTTGGAGTTTTTTGTTTGTTTGTTTGTTTGGGGGGGCTGGTGTCACGAGTATCTGGATGATACCCAATTGTACTTGTTTGTTTGTTTGTTTGTTTGTTGGGGGGGGGCTGGTGTCACCAGTATCTGGATGATACCCAACAGTACCTCCCCTTACCATCTAAATCTGAGGAAGCTGTTTTGGCTCTAGATTAGTGTCTGGTATGAGAAATGGGATTGATGATGGTGAATAAACTGAAACTTGATCCAGACAAGACAAAGGTGTTCTTGGTCAGTTGAAACGAAGATCAGGGAATAGGAATGTAGTCTGTACTGAATGGGGTTACGCTCCCTCTGAAAACACAGATGCTCCTGGATTCATCTCTGATCCTGGATACCCAGGTTTCGGTGGTGGCCAGGTTTTGGTGGTAGCTGTGCCTGTTCCTGGAAAGGTCTGATCTTACTACAGTGACCTTAATTGTATCCCAGCTGGATTACTGTAACACACTGTATGTGGGGGCTGCTTCTAGAAAGTAAAAACTTCAGTGTGTCTAAAATGCAGCAGCCAGATTACTAACTGCAGCTGTTCTCTTTTACAATAGCTCCATTGGCTCCTGATCTGTTTTGGGGCACAGTTCAAAGTGCTGGTTCTAACCTATATAGGCCTAAACTGCTTCAGTCCAAGCTATCTCAAGGACTGTATCCCCCCTTTTATGAGCCTACTCAGGCGTTAAGATCATCAGGAGAGGCCTTTCGCTCAATCCCACAACCTTCACACATGCATTTGGTGGGGACACAGGAGAGGGTGTTCTCTGTTGCTGCTCCCAGACTTCAGAACTTTCTCCCACTGAAGGCCAGGACTAGTTTTTGCTGCGCTTCTGCAAGCAGGCCTTTCTCTTTGGGCAAGCTTTCTCCCAGTGATTGGCTGCCTGAGTGAGGTTTTAAATGGATTGCTATGCCTTACTGCTTTTAATGTGTTTTTGATATTGCTTTTATTTACCGTTTTTTAGTGTGGAATTTGCTTGATCCTTTTAGTATTTGAATACCTACAATTTTTAGGTTTAAATATTGTCTTTTAATGATATAAGCTGACTTGGCTCCTTTTGAAGGAGAAAGGCAGGGCAAAATACTTTAAATAAATAAAATTGCACTGAAGAGGCATCTCTACAAAGCATGAACAATATAACCTCTGTATGTCTTACTCCAAAGAACTGTGAAAAGCAGTACAGTACAAAAATGCAGTTTATGCATTTCTACTCAGGTGTATGCATAGGCATCAGATACTGAGAGCACTGTGAATTCACCCCTTTGAATGTAGTAGCTGCAGTCATTATGATTCATCTAGCAGCTCAAAAACACTCCCTTGCAGGCATATCCCTGTTCCAGCTTCATGTTCACAGGAGAAAAAAATCAAGTTATTCCTTGTTCATTTGCAATCAAAATGTAACTTACTTAGGGAAAATAAATTATTACAAGAAATATATTCTTTTGTAAGTAGTTACTATATTTTTGAATCTGGGCCTGCCATCGGCTAATGTCTTTTGTTGGGTCTCTTTCTGTGTTGAGCAGGCATTTTCAGCCTGACACAAGATGTCTCATTCAGACTCTGCCATTTTTCATTTCAGCTCTTCCGGCCCTTAGGTATTACAAGTGGATACAAAACATTCCAACATCTGCATGACCCAGCTTGGCGCAAAAGAGATCAGAAACGTGTTGCTTCCCAAAAGCAGGTGGGTGAAGTGTGTGTTTATGTTTTAGAACCAGGAGATGTCTTAACACATAATTTTGTAACTCCCAAATGCTATGCTAGCAGTTGTGAGGCAGAAGTCAAACTTTTCCAAGCTATGTGCCTTACTTATATAGATGAAACTGCTCTCTGTGTTTTAGACCAAACTTTGTAGAAACTATCCGGAGTGCTGAACAGAATCCCCAAATAATTTCAACACCTTGAATACTTCCTGTAAACTAGGAACTAAAGCTTGGAGCAAATTTACCACCCATGAAATCAGAGTCACCAGCCTATACTGGTCTGGCAGAATGGTACTGTAATAAGCCCCACACTATTCTTCAGACATGCCAGGTTTCTCTTATCCTGTTACTCTATCAGGTGGTCTGCAGCTCCCTGGTAGTCAGAGGACATGGGAAACTATATGGCCTGAAATTTATTGAATCGAGCCTCTAAATATCTACATTCTGCAGAAACAGGGTTTCCACAGTTTTTACTGTCTAAAATGTTGTTAATATAAGGAGCAATTTCAAGATACCAAAAACTGTATCAGTGCTCAAACTCATGAAAGAATCACTACCAGAACCAGGGCAGGAGGCAGACAGCTGGATATGGGGCACGATATGCCTTTTCTTTCCCCTGCTTTAAAACACTTCCTGCATCAAAGCAGAATTTACAAAAGCCAGTAGAAAACGTGTGTGCAAGCATGACTTCTTTTAAGAGGAGAGAAAACATGGCACATCTCCTTTCCAGCCCTTGTTTTGATTTGGACCTAAATATTATTGTGAAGCAGTGAACCTATTATTTGTTGTAGTTTTTAATCACAAAGTCTGAATACCTACGGTGCAAGATGGGCAGTAGAATTTAACATGGAACCTAAGAATCAACCAAATAACTCTCCTTGTTCCACTCCTGACCTTCTGTGATCCAGAAAATTTGCTCAGATTTCATTGAAGCCATCTTCCATTTTGCCATCCTTTGCTTTCTTACTGTGGAACTTTTTGCATGACACCTGTCACTTATGTTTCCATCCAGGAGCAGTTCAAGGTGGACCGTACTGGAGGCTTGAATAACCTTAAATACCGAGTGGAGTCACGGACTCTGTTGAGTGTGGCAGGCGCTCCCTGCACAGTCCTCAATATCTTCCTAGAATGTGATTCCAGTGAGACACCCTGGTGCACATTTGGTTGAGAGACCTCCTGCTCAGACTGCCCTTATTGTATTGCCGCTGGAACAGTAGCAGCTACAACTGGTTGCCAGAATTGCAGCTGGACTCAGTGAAGGCACATCCTTCTGCAGGAACCAGCAACAGGGACTCAGATGTTCACAGGTCAGATGGTTAAAAATGGACATGAGGATCTACATGTTTTGATAGTATGTGGAAAAGGTGTTGCCTCTTACATGTGGCAATGAATGCACAGGATACTGGCAAAATTCAAGGTGTTGATTCCCCACTCAACCTGCCTGTTATCCAGAAGCATGTTGTTTTGGCTGCCTGTATCTGAACAACTGAAGGAAACCAGAGACTAAGAGACATGACTGTGATAAAATTCTTCTCTCTCTACCAGCCAGGGCACCCAATTCCCAGGTGGTAAGGGAAGACTAGGGCTGTAAACTTGTTTGGGAGAGAGTTTTGCCCAGACTGATGCTTACAGAACTTTCTCTTGCCAAATCAATATGTTGTTAGCTTCTTGGATGTTTGCTTCTCTTATGAAAAAATACAGAAACACCTCCAGTGGAAACTATACACTCCAACTTTTCCTCTGGAGCAGAGGACTACTAAATGGACACTCTCTGGCTCTAATACTGTATCATAATCACCAACTACCTTAGATAAGACCATCATGGATGGAATCTTGCTCTTGGGAGTCTTGGAGATGGCTAAATCTGTTGGCTCAATGCAATAAAGCCATTAAAGTCAGTGCGTGCTGAAAGGACTTCATAGATAGAAGGTATGTGTGAAAGAGTACATGAAAGCATTCCCACAAGCATTACAAAATTCTCCTTGTCTGCACCTTCTCTTCTTCCTGCCAATATAGCGCAGGATCCATCACTGTCAATCTAACAGAACTGGTTCCCTCAGCAGAAACAGGAGGGATGTTACCACCTCACCTTGTGTCTCATATACATGCTCAAAATCTAATTCTTCCTAAGAATTAGGAAACCCGAAGTACATTTGGGGCTGTGTGGAGGGCTACAGGAGGGAAAGAAGAAAGTTCCATCCACCAGTACATTGCTGGGTTTAAACCATCGCTTTCTAAACTTGAAATCCAGCATCATGGCCTAATCCCATCCTTCTCAACCATGATTTACCTTGGTTTATTCAGGTATTGCTAAGTGCAAAAGAAACAAACCACAATTCCCTACACATACAGTGTCTGAATATGATGCATTTGTACATTCATGGCTCTTCCAATACCTAAGTGCAAAAGAAACAAACCACAATTCCTGCATTTGTATATTCATGGCTCTTCCAATATGTTTGGTGCAGGAAAAAAAAGGGACAGAAAAAGGTGAAATCTGAGCATCAAGACATTAGGCCAAAACACCTACGACAAAATTGGCATCTCCTGTGTAGCTGCATCTGGCATCTGCGGAAGTGGCTGGGAACGGAGTTGGTTGTGGAGGCACTGGGGGTTGGTTGAAGGCTGACAGGAGAGAGGTGGAGGGTCAGTGCACGTGGTGGGATATCACTGGGCCCTGCAACATGAAGAGGAGGGAGAGATCCTTGCCAAGCCTCCATGGAAATGCCTGCTGCCTCTGGATTTCTCTCCTCTTTCAGAGGCTTTGATTTTTTCTTGTGTTGTTGGGTAAAGAGATTGCTGAATTTTTCCAGTGTACTTGGATGCTCAGACTGAGTTGTGTTCACAGGATTCGATGACAATTCCTTGTAGTCACATGGGATCAATTTCTGCAGCTGAGTTACAGATGTTGGTTTCTTTCCAACAGAGATTGCTGTAAAGGGTGGGTAGAGCCAGAAGAATTATAGGGTTGTAATTAGCTAACCCCCCCCCCCCAAGTAAGTCCCACCTAACAAGCATTTTCTTAAGTTGTCATTGGCTGGGAGATTATGTTTCAGCAGATGTTACACTACAGAACTTCTGAAAAAGAACCCCCGCCCACCCACTTCCAGTAAGTATAGTTCACTTGCATGGAAAATTCTATGTGTATATACTGTATCAATGTACAGTCCCTTTTTGTATATAGAAGCTGAGGGCTATCCCTCATGGCCTCACACATGACACAAGCCAGTAAAACAATACTTTTCTGGAAACCCTAGAATGTGCAGAGCGTGTCTGTCTATTTAAGTGCACTCCCTCATCTTGCTGTTTGACAACAAGAAACTGCCCCAACAGAAGCTAGTAAAGGATAAGCAGAATGTAGGCCTCCAGATGTTGGACTGCAGTTCCCAGTATTCCTCTGCATTCACTATGGTGGCTCAGGCTAAATGGGGTTGTCGTCCAACAGCATGCGAGAGGCCATCATTCTTACTGATGGCAGCCAATGCAAGAGGATGAAAACCACTTATCATCAGTGCTCCATCTTAGATTATGTTTTTTAAAAAATGAAAGACATTGATCATATAAGGAACCAATTATTGAATGGCTACTAAAGAAGGGCATATTCATTTATTTTTAACCAACTTTGTGGCATAGTGACCTAACTTGCCCTGAGGAAGTGGTGGCTTTACTTTAAATAAGTCTCTGTATTTTGTAAAGCCGGGTGGGAGAGCTTGTGTGGGCCCTCTTGTTGTCAGACAAGTGTTCCTATCACCCATCATCCAACCGCTTTCACTTGCCGCCGCCCCCAGCAAGGGTTTGATGGAAATTGAGAGTTTCAGCATCTGGAAGGGGACACGTCTCCCATCTTTGTCCTCAGTGATATAAGTACATGAAATTGTTCTTTCTCTGAAATAAGAGTGGGAACAATGCTTGCCTGTGATAAACCACCTCATAAAGACTGTGGAAAGGCAGAAGAGTGAAGAGAGGAATGGTACAAAGGACTTCTTCAGTCCCCTTCCTTCAGTGAGGTACCTGCTGTAACTCCCCCAACATCTTAGGCTCCTGGTGCTGCCCCTTAGTCACCTGCAGCCGTGTGCAAGGCACTGCCCAACTTGGGTCCAGATGTCATGGCTGAAGCCTCCAGCTCGGTGTTCACACTGGAAGACGATGAACCCTCATCATTTGCCTGGTTGTGAGAGAAGTAGATGTAGTCAGTGACAACAGTTTTAGTAGGCCACTGCTCAGTCAAGACTTACCAACTAGAGCCACTGCTCACCCCACACCTGACTTAGGGCAACACAAGAAATGTTCTTTAAAGTTGTTCAAAGGTTTGGTAGCATCCTGACTGCCTTCTTGTCAACATTTTATTTTTGGAACTTCTCCCCCCAACAAAGGAGGAAGGGGAATCAGCTTGCCCTTAAAGTCCTGTTTTACTTGGGTGGGGAAAAGGAGATAAAATGGCCTGTCGCAGTCCACCCTTTGTTCTGTATTATTCCACTTGGGTACAGTACTAGATTTCTCTGCCTGACCAGAACAGCTTTTACACCTAGATGCCTTTGACTCCTTTATACCAAGAGGTGTGTTTTTCTTTTCTGTAAGTGACATTTTTAGTCAGTTATAAATGATGGAAACCAGAATATAACTGTTAATGAACTGAATGTACACACCAACCAACCTGGATTCCTCACATGCAGGGAAGCAAAGTGGATTTAAATGTCCCTTATAAGAAATGGTTTATATGTGTCCCCATCCCCACCCACCCCAGTCTCCTGGCTGAATGGAAAACTGCCTGTGCACAGCTTGCTACTACAGAGGAAAAGCCAAGAACTGGGGAAAGGTCCATCTCCTGACATACCAAGGTGCTGGACTGAGATGAAGCCTCTTTTGCCACCTGGTACTTCCTGCCCTTCTTGCTCCCACAGAATCTGTGGAAGAGGGCCCAGGGTCTGTGGGGATTTAATGCCATCTCACTGGCTGGTGAGGCGATCTGTAAGAACTGTATATCAAGCTGCAATTTTCCTCTTGCCTTCTCCTTTCTTCCAGGTTGGGACTGCAACACAAACCACCTGCAAAGATAATTCAATGTTGTATTGCCAGTGCCTGTCTCCTCACTTTTCTGTTGGATGCTACTACTGTATAGCATTGAGTTATTTTTCTTGGCACTTACAGGTCCACTTTTCTAAGGGCAATCCAGGGAAACAGGTTACTCAGATATGGTTGGACTACAATGCCCAGTATCCCTGACCACTGACTATGCTAGGTAGGGCTGGTGGAAGTTGGATGATGTGGGGCATCGAACACCAGCTTCTTTGATACTGTGCACTCTTGGTGAATACTTGTTAATTTACTGAGAGGCAGTTCACCACAGTGAATGTAACCAGTGGATAAGCTGGTCCTCTGTAGAGAGCCATTAAGTGCTAGTGAGGACTCTGCTACTCATTAAGGCTTGATAGAGGCAGGGTTTTTATTATATTAGCAGAACTTAAGGCCTGTGAGTTGCCTACTAATTAACCCACTTATCGATTGCTAAGAGCAATGACATGATAAGGGGCTGCCTCCCCATCAGAAGTTCCCTATTTTGCAGTGCAGAGAAGACCTTAACAGTGGTTACTGTTCTGAATTCTGACTGCCAGAATCCCGCAGCAAGCATGTGGGAGTCAAAGACTAAAAGAGTTAGCTTTTCTGAGCATTGGTACAGATTCTTAAAAGGAGGTGTTTTTGCAGAACAGGAACTGGGGGACGGTGCTATAAAGGGAGCTTGGCCTTTTCTACAACTGAGCACATTCTGTCCATTTTGAGCAGCTTGGCAACTACTAATGAAGTGTCATTAAATCTCATTGGTTCACATGTACAGTCAGACACTCCCTCTTGTTTTCACTAGTCCACTTTTGTTCCTTCCAGTACTTATCCATATTCCTCTTGGGAACATTTGGATAGCCCCTTGAGGCACATTTGGATAGCCCCTTAATGGCTTTGCAGTATTTAGAGGAATAATATGTTGAATTTTGCCTAGCCTTTGCTATGAGGTCTTATAACATGGGAGCATGTGTGGTGTTTGTGTTGAAGCTCTCAGCTATGTTACTGGGCAGCTGTTTGTCCAGTTTTACTGCCTGTGGCATCTGTCCATCTACTAAGGCAAGGAGAACCCAAGGCTATTACTCCTAAGTTGTATCCTTCTCCCAGGTTCTTTCCGGACGCTACCCTGGGGTTTAGCTAGGTGAACTATGTTTAATGCTTCAAAAGGGATATTTAGCTGTCTCTGCTCACTCGTTTCTCCTCCTTGTCTTATCCTGAAAGAGTGACGCAAGAGGCAGGCAGACTCTGCCCAGGAACTGGTTGAAATGATGCGAGGACCGGTGCATGACGGTAAGGAGGAGGGCGTGCTCTTCTAAATCATCCAGGGTGGCAGGCAGATGCAGTGTACACTCCTCGTGCCATTCAGGACTTAGGCAGTGGGATAATACCGATGTCCGAAACTTTTGCTTCTGCAGCTGAATCACAACATAGGGGTTGCTGGTGCCCGTGGTCCCCTTGGCACGCAGACAGCAGGCACGCAGGACAACCACATGAAGGTGGGTAGGATGCCACGGCTGCTCCTTTTTGGATTCTTCCTCCAACCTGTAAAGACACATTCTAACATCCTCCGATTAGGATCAAGGGGAAAGAGTCCCTGACATGTCACCTAGAAGGTAAGCTAAAGCCTGGCCCAGGTGGTTCTGCAGGACATCAGCGGGGACAGATGGGTTAGGCAATAACCTGGTTGAAGGACAGCCCTCTCTGGTATCAAGGCAACATTTGCATGGGCAAAACTGGGCCTAGAAAAACAAAAGTTGATAAGATATCTGGTTGCTCATGACAAAAAAAAGTCACGAAGTGGACAGTGTACAAAGTGGACATAGGCTAAACTTGTAACTCCAAAGCCATGCACCACTTGTACCTCCAGTCCTGATCTCTCACTGTCTTGGGAGAGTGAACATGGGGAGATTGAGGGAGTGTGGGACGTCTGGATGAAGAGCAAGGCATAAATTCTTCATCAACTGGCCAACTCGGCCCAGGCTTGGACTAATGTCTCTACCGGCCAGACTCGTATTATAGGATTATGGTGAGAATAAAGTAGAGGGAAGGTTGCCCTCAACTCCTTGGAGGAAAGACTGGATAATAAGTAAGGTATTGGTAAAGAACCGATGGTCCACAGGTGGCGGGAGGCAACTCTTTACCCGATCTCCGGCAAGGACTTTGTCACCCCGTGGTTCACGTTCAGCTCCATGCTGCCAGTTCCGCCGCTGCCAAACCAGGTGTCAGCTAGACTAGAACACCAACTGGGTGTCAGCTAGACTAGAACAAAGCAAGGGATTCCAGTTCCAGAACACTCTGTGCTGACAATCGAGTGGGCGGGGCCCTTAATTTCCCCTCACTCCGCCCCATGGAGGGAGGCAGCTGGCAGCACTACCCCGTTTCCCCGAAAATAAGACTTAACCTGAAAATAAGTCCTAGTAGGATTTTTCAGGATGCTCGGAATATAAGCCCTAACCCCAAAAATAAACCCTAGTTAAGTGAAACCTTGTCCTCCATCATTGTGCAGCAACCAGAAGATGACATGACTGTAAAATAAAACATCCCCTGAAAATAAGCCCTAATGTGGTTTTTTTTGCAGCAAAAATTAATGACCCTGTCTTATTTTCGGGAAACATAGTAGTAAAGTTACTGGAGGCACTGCTTGTCTTTGCTGCCCTGCCTGGTCACTGAGGGACAGGGAATTCAAACCTCAGAAGGTGCTGATGGTTGCCAAATTCCAAAAGAGATTCTAGAAATATATATTTTATTTTACATCAGAATATAAGCATGATTTCTCAGAGGAAAATCTGTTTTTTTTTTCCCCTTAGGAATTTGGTCATATCCTTGATTTAAGTAGAGATTCTGGGTCTTTGAAACCATGTCGATTCACATGAACTAGAATTTTATGCATGGCTGATATAGAAACACATACTGTATGCCTTGGTTATCTCCCATTTAGATTATTGCAGTTTGTTCCATGTGGGGCTAATTTGAAGATGGTTTGGAAAATTAATTTGGTGCAAAATGCTGCAGCCAGACTGTGGTTGACTGGTTACTGTGATTGTGTGATCCGCTACAACAGCTTTGTTGGCTGCCAGGTTGTTTCCAGGCCTTATTCAAAGTGCTGGTCATTACATTTAAGGTCCTTTACTGTTTAGGTACAGTCTATCTGAAAGACCGTATCTTCCTATAGACTTGCTACATGTATAAAGAGCCTCAGTGGAGTGCCTCTTCTGGGTCTCACCACACTCACCAGCATGTCTGGTGAGGACCCATGAGGAACTTTACTCTGTGGTAGACTTCCCTCCCTCAGGGGAGTCTAGATAGGCTCTTTCCCTCCTTTCCTTCTGCTGGCAGCTGAAAACATAGCTCTTTAGAGTGGCTTTTGGGGAGTCAGAACTTGAAGTCAATTGAAAGGGGGAGGTTTTATAAAATTTATACATTTTAATGTATGTTTTAAATAGTTTTAATAGTAATCAATCTGGGTTAATTAATTGTTTATTTTATTTTATTTTATTTTATTTTTTTGCATGCTGCCTTGGGTGCTCAGAAGGGGAGAAAGGCGGGATAAAAAATGAATAAATCAATAAGATGTCACCTCCTGATCAAGAGGTGAGTGAGTGGTGGAGAGTATCAGCAAGGTCAGAGGCAAAAGGATGGTTGCTGGTGTTGTGTGCCATCAAGTTGTTTTGATTTAATGACAACCTTATGGATTAATGATCTCAAAAGGTCCTGTCATCAACTGCTCTGCTCAGTTCCTGCAAATTAAAGGCTCTGGGTTCCCTTATTGAGTCCTTTCATCTCATGTTAGGTCTCTCTTCCCACCCACTACTTTCTACTATTCATAGCATTATCACCTTTCCAGTGAGTCTTGCCTTCTCATTATATGTCTGAAGTATGGTTACCTCAGCCAAAAGGGAGTCACGGTGTGTTCCATGTGTGAAGTATTAACAGCACACCTATGGGTAGTCCCACTCTTATGTCTGAGGAAGTGGACTTGTCCACAGAAGTTCACATTAAAATATAGCAGTTAGACTTTAAAGTGCCACAATGTTTGTGGCTTTTTTTTTTTTGCTTTTGTTTTTGCCTGACATGGGAAAGAGTTGCATTTGTACAATTACTAAAAATGTTTTTTTTAAAAAACAAAGAAGCAAGGTCTCCCCTCAAAAATGTTTTAAACACTTAGCCCCCAACAGTTTCAGTCCCTGGTGCATACAACTTTGTCTGTGGTGTTCAATAACTGTGAGGTTTTAATTTTTAAAAAACAGCTACTGTACATGACAAGTACATCATTCTCTCCATGTGGACAATAGCTTGCTCCACTTGGGCAAAGCAAAGACATGAGATTTCAATTCAGTGCATTTTTTAAAAAACAATTTAGCAAAATCTACTGTGTTTTCATAAACAAGGTGGAAGGAACTTGACGTTTTATACATACATACAAACAAACAAACTCAATAAAGTAGAAAGTAACAGAGACAAATTAATCTACCCCTGCTATTAAAAGGTGGGCGGCCAAATCCTGCACCAGCTGCTATTCCTGAGAAGGCTTTAAGGACACCCCCCCCATGGGGATCATATTACATTCACCAAGTACTGAGGTGAGAGAGGAATTTACGTGGCACATTAATAGTAACAGAAACATCTGAGAAAGAGGGACATGTTTCTATGTCCAACTATGTCATTTGCTGGCAGAATGAGACAGGTGATGCCTACGAACCCAAGGGGACATCTAAACAACAAACAAACCACTGAGACTTGATAAAGCGCCGAGAGGTACCAGACCCAACCCTGTCTGAAGTTGGGGTGGGCAGGAGAGGTGCCTAATACTACTGGGCTTGTTATTTCAAAGGGATAAATGAACAACATCTAGGAATTCTCCCTTCCACCAACCATTAGCTTTCCTCTTAGGAATTCAAGGCAACAGGAAATAATTGTTATACATATATAGCTCCAAGTGCATACAGGACAGGCCTCCTCCCAGGAAATGTTGCAGATTAAATACCACAGTACTGCTGACACACATGCACACAAGGTGACCATACGCCAGTGAATGGAAGTTGAGGGTTCTGCATCAGTTCCTGTAGCAGAGTGTGGCAAAAAGCACAGCAGTAAATAATGGGTGAAGCCAGAGCCAGGCAAAAATCTGTGGCTTCACATCACACACAGAGGCAAAGAAGCATTCACACAGACACACAGAGAGAGAGAGAGAGAAAGAGAGAGAGAGAGAGAGAGGCAGGACAGTGTTCCCTCAAACACTGCCTCACACTTCCCCTGCCCTCTTGCACTCCACTGCTCAGCTAGGGAGCAGAAAAATGCACCCTATCCTCAGATCAACACTGTTCCTATCTGCTCCTGTTTCTTCTGTGTCTGATTTCAAAACTGTGCAATTGATTCATTTACTCCCATTTTTTCACTTATTGTTTGTCTCCCTTCCTCCTCCTTTTCTTACACACAGGCTGGACTTCAATAAGAAGTCAATACATACAGAGCCCCGACCCTCCGTTATTGGTAAGGAGATAGCCAGAAGTGCGGTGGCTGGGTGGTACAGTGCCTTATCTGATTGAGAACGAGCCTGCTCAGGTTTACTGGTCTTGTGAGAACCTCATCTGTGTCATTAAAAGTGGGTGTCTAAAGGAACCAAAGGGCCAAGTCACAAAAACTTGTTACACCCTGAAAAAAGGTAAGAGCAACAGGAAACTTAGTGTCACCACTGTCACAGACCTCCAGGTTTCAGGGAGTCCCACTCTAACCACTGAGCCACACTACCCTATTGTTCCTGGAGTTAAATGTGGTGATGGCTAGGGAACCTGCCCGGTCCTAATACCTCCCAGGATTCTAGTCTGACCTGAATCAGCAGTGCTTTCAGGGAGTTCCAGCAATCCCACAAGGTTAAGCGCCCAAGACTATTACTGTATACCAATCCTGCAACCCCACCCAATAAACATTAAGACTCCCTCTAGCTGATCAAGGCAAGACCTGGTTTCAAGTACTGTAGCCAAAAACCCCAGAAAGCTGGATGAATAATTTTTATATTTTATTAAAGACAAAAAGGCAAAAAGTTTCAGAAGGTTTCAAAAAGGCAGAAGCAATACAGAGAAACCCATCAGAAAGTAAGAAAGCGAGGTAATCTTCCTAATAGTCACACACTCGCATAATATCAGCATGGTCTTGGAGCATGCGCAGAGTGCATCCCTCCCAGCACAGCATGACAGGACAGCCCCTGAGCCTAGCATCTCCTAAAATGAAAACTAAGTCAACTAATGTAACTTCTGAACCCCTTAATAGACTTTTAACATCACATTCTAGACCTTTTGAGGTGGTTTGCCAATCAGACTTTGAGTTTCGTCAAATTTTAATGAAGACAAGAGCATTTCTGCCCCCTCCCTTCATACAGCTGAAGTCATTTCCAGCAGGGGGTCGGACTGAATGGCCTTATAGGTCCCCTTCAACTTCATTGTTCTATGAGCTCTATTTTCCAGTTAGCACAGGGAACAAACAGAGTTGGCCTTGAAGTTTTTGCTCAAAAGATCAATTGCAAGGGGTACTCCCACTTCGTTCCTGGCAGACACCGCCCCCCACCTTTCTCCCAGCCAGCCGTTTCCAGGCACTGACAGAAAGCCTGACTTTTCCAGGAAGGTCCACACAACCCACGTCTCCCAATTCCTCAATTTTTTTCACAGTCACCATGTGGAAAAATTACTTTTTGAGACTAACATCCCCAGAATCCCCCAGCATATATGTCTATCTTCTTTTATTTGATTTTATGTGCCATTAAATTGCTCTGACTATGAATTAGTAACATCCAAAATGTCATATTCTTAAAAGGTTTTGTCCTTGAGGGAGTCAATCCATCTCATGTTTGTTCTTCTTTTCTAGCTGTTTTCCACCTTTCCCCAGCATTATTCTCATTTCCGGAGAATCCTGTTCTTCTCATGATGCGCCCAAAGCAGGACAGCCTCTGTTTCATTATTTTTCTTCTAGTGAGAGTTCTGCAGTCCCAATTTTTCTTTTTCTTGATGATCAGCTGTAATCCTGCTTTTGTATTTTTCTCTTTAAGGTTACAGCTACATGGTTAAATATTACAATATCTGCTGAGGGTATATAACAGATGAACTCGCAATTTTTTTTTACTGATCGCATGACAAAAAGACCAATTTAAATCAGTCCAGCCTTTTTTGTCCTTAGTGTAGATTTTTTTCCCTCTTCTTCTGGGGGCTTCCACTTTTTTCAAGAAGGAATGATTTGAATTTACTTTCCTCCATGTTATCAGTT